AACGAGGAACGGAATAGACGCCGGGGAACGAGGATAACGGCCAACAGACGTCCCCTCACCGCCACAGGAAACGAGGAACGGAACTACATCAGCAACGAGGATAGGAACACAAACAACTAAACGAGGAACGAGGACACCGAATCAAACATACCAACTTAAACGAGGAACGCGCGACGCAACGTGAACACAACACACGATAACCGAAGCAACGAGAAGGTAACAAACATTTACTAACGAGGAACGAAACAGTATGCAACGAACACAAGGAAACGAGCACGTGCGGGGAACGAGAACGGAATAGACTGCAGCCGAAGAACGGAACAGACCGCAGGAACGTAGGAACGGAACACACATAGCGAGGACAAAGACGACAGGAAGCGAACAAACATACTAAACGAGGAAACGAAACAGAGTGCAGGACAGTGCACACAACACACGATGCGGGGAACTGCGAGGACGCGAGTATTCATGACGACGGGTAACGCAGGAAACACGCACACACGACCCCAGGAATCCAGGAACCACACAGTGAACACAGCGACGGAACGAAGGAACGGAAAAACATAACCTAAACTCGATTATATCGAGATACGAACAAAACAACTAAACGCGAGGAAGAATACAGAGATCCTAAACGGAGACACCAGGAACAGGAGCACTGCCGCGGGAACGGGACCGATCACGGACACCCTATTCCCACGCGTCTTCCACTTCCCCGCGTCCTCCTACGGTCTCACGCACACCTCCTGCGATCCAGCTCGTCTCACTCTTGACGTCATGCGTACACTTCTTCGAGAACTTCCTCTCCTATCTTCGCGTACTTCCCCTCTGCCCTCCCTCCTCCTCCTCTCCCTCCTCCTCTTCCTCTCCCTCTTCCTTCTCACTCCTCCTCCTCGCCTCCTCCCTCGCCTCACAGGGCCAAGCCTCGTTGCACACCTTCGCCACCTCACGTCGACCCGATCCGGCACTTGAATACCACGACCAACAGATTAACGCAGGACTACGGGACACACAGAGCGCTGCGCAATAACTACGCTAAGCGACATCTTCCCTCTCGTCCCAGTTCGTACGTCAAAACCTGGACACCGTGCGCAGCGGAATCCCGCGTAGAATCTCCTCCAAAGCGCCGCCCGTTCTCCCTCCTCCCTCTTCCTCTATCGCCAATCTCCTCCTTCTCTTAACCCCCGTGTCGCCTCCTCACCCTAATCACCTCCCCTCCCTGCGACCTCATAACGCTGCCACGCCTCTCCCTCTTCCCCCTCTCTCCGGATCCCTCCCTCCTCCGCCCTCCCGCCCGGCGGGGTGGTGGGGGGACAAGTCGGTCAGCGCGCTCCGGCGATGATGAATGAATAGAACCTAAAAAGCATCTTACCTACCTTGAAACTCTACCCCTGCCACAGCTCCCACCTAGTCCGTCCGCTTCCGCCTATTTCACACTGTCACCCTCGCGGCGGACAGATATCGCTCCCCCTGTCACCACTCCCTCCTCCCCTCTCTCTCCCTTTTAAGATCACTACGTCGCACTGCTGCGCAAGATTCATCTCTCACTCCCCTCTCCCTCCCCCCCTCGGGAGGCTCCCGCCTCTTCAATCCTCTGGTAACACCGGAACATCAAGTCCTCTCCCGTACACGTCCCCTCCCCAAGTCCACTCTTTTCGCGGCCGCCCTCCCTCTCCTCTTCCTCGTCCCTCTCTCCTCTCTTCACTCCCTTATTTAGGTCCTCCTACCGCCCTTTGGGGAGGTGGGTCCCCCTCTTTCCGTCTGTGCCTCTCCCTCCCCTCCCTCCTCCCTGCCACTGTGCCCTCCTCCCTCTTCCTGCTTCGCCTCTCCTCCTTCTCGACTGAAGGCCATCCGCTCCTCCTCCCAACTCCTCCCTCTTCCTCTTTCCTCCTCCTTCCTCACGGGGGGAGGTCCCCGTCGCGCGATGCTCGCTAGACCTCCCTCCCCTCATCTCTGCTTCTTATCCTGCTTCTACCTTCATCCCTCCCATCCCTCACTCCCTCCCCCCCTTTCCTCACTCTCCTATCCATCTTACCTCTCATCCCTCTACATTAACAGAATTAGAGATATGTATATATACACTGATCCTCCTCCTCCTACCCCTTATCCCTCTTATCCACTTCCCTTCTCTCCTTCTCACTTACACGTCCCTCACATACATTAGTCCCTATCCCCCCACCATATCCACTTTCATTCCTCTTCCCTTCTCTACCTTCCTCACTCACTATCCCACCTCCCTCCCTTATTACCCTCCTTCCCATCTTCCTCTTTCCCTCTCTCCTTCATCACTCCCTATCCCTCCTCCCTATCTTCCTCTCCTATCTATTCTCCTTCTCACTATATCTACCATCTACTCATCCCTTACTACCTTCATTAGCCTCTACCTTCACTTACTCTCCATCTTACGCTACTCTGTATTACTCCACATCCCTCCCTCCCTCCTACCCTCACCTGACCCTCCTCCCTTTCCTCTTCCTCATCTCCTTCTCAAATACTACACAGAATTAAATAAAGGTAGTCCTAATATTATATATGTATAATAATAAATATATTAATATACTATATAATTAATTATTATATAGCGTAATATATTACGTATTGAGTTACACATACACACCACAGTCAAACAGGGGGGCGTTGGTAGTTGCACCTGGCCACGATATATACTAATATAGTTGTTTGGGGTGAGTTGTATACACACCCATACGGAGTACGAAACTCAAGCAGGAAGTCTGCAAGAATAAAGTGAATATGTTATAATATATTATATATATATGGGTATAATAGTATATATGTTTAACACACAACACACACACACACCTGACAATAACTAATATTATTACTAGTAGTATATGGTTAACTTAGTGATATATTATAATACTATAGTTAGTAAATATATAATATAGATATATAAATATATATATAAATATATATATAATAATAGTACTATATAGTGGACGCCGGGACGTATCGGGTAAGCGGCGGGCGCGGCTGGCAGTTTCGGGGATGGCAGGGTATCATTGATGGTCGGGCGGTGGCTGGGCTACGGCTGGTGCGGAAGGTGCAGGGTCACATTGCCCTTTATCCGTAGCTGGTGGTTGGCCGCGGAGGGAGTCAATTCATCCTGACATTCACATGGTCCGTGGGTATCCTCCCCCTCCCCTGGCCCTCCCTCTTCCTCTTCCCTCCTCTCCTTCTCACTCCCTCACCTCCTCCCCTCCCTCCCTCCTCCCTCTTCCTCTTCCCTCTCCTCCCCCTCTCCCTCCCTCCCTCCTCCTCTTCCTCTTCCCCTCTCCCTCCCTCCCTCCCTCTCTTCACTCTCCTCACTCCTCCCTCTCCCTCACCCTCTCCTCTCTCCTCCCTCTCCCTCACTCCTCCCCTCCTCCCTCTCCCTCTCCCTCTCTCCTCCCTCTCCCTCCCCTCCCTCCCTCCCTCCCTCCCTCCCTCCCTCTCCACTCCTCACTCCTCTCTCCTCCCTCTCCCTCTCCCTCTCCTCCCTCTCCTCCTCTCCCTCTCTCACTCCCTCCTCTCTCCCTCTCCCTCCTGCCTCACTCCCTCCTATAGGAATATCAACCTGTGTCAAGGTAGATAAGTTAGCAAAACAAGCACTTTCCCACGAAGAACCATATTATGCAATACCGCTATCTATCAGTCAAATGAAAAACGTAATATCAGCTGTCTTCGAGATCATGAGGGCCAGGTATGGACCACCGAAAAAAATGAAGAAAAGTGGACATGGTACCATCTGGCATTATGAAAGTATTGTCGGGTCACGTGATGCTAACAAACAATACGAAGTCGTAGACAGTAGGTCACCCTAACCAGGCTACGTATAAGATATCAATACACTATTAATTATGTACAGGAAGCAGTTTTGGAGGCAAAGCCAGTTAAATATCACCACTGCAAAATGTGCAAGGCGCCCTAGTCGCTTAATCTTACACATTACTTACTTTGTTGCTAAAAAATTGCATCCTATCGACCAGATAGCACTGTCCAGAGACCAGCACTTATTGATTATATTAAATTTATCATAGACACCGGTCTTGTCTTCGATATGATTAGGGATATAAAAGTTATTTTTTACCAACTAAATGATATGTGTATAATGACAGCCCTTCAGGCATGTATTACTAAAGTTTCCCTTTACATAAATATAAGCATAGCCAGTTTGGATAGGTTTTGGAGCATCATATCCTGGCTTTTTACAGGGCATGTACACTGTTCTGTATTTTTTTTTTTTTTTTTTTTTTTTTTTATCAAATCAAAATCTCCCTCCCTCCCCTCCTCTCTCGCCACTTCCCCCTCCCTCTCCCTCCCTCCCTCTTTCCTCCCTCCTCTCCCTCCTCCTCTCCCGCTTCCTCCCTCCCCCCTCCCCCTCTCCCTCTCCCTCTCCCCCTCTTCCCTCCCTCTCCTCTCCTTCCTTTCCCCTCCCTCCCTCTCCCTCCCCCTCCCCCTCCCACCCTTCCTCCCTCCCCTCTTCCTCCTCCTTTCCCTTCCTCCCTCTCCTCTCCCACCTCCTCCCTCTCCTCTCCCACCTTCTCCCTCTCCCCTCCCACCTTCCCTTCCTCTCCCTCTCCCATCTTCCTCCCTCTCCTCTCCCACCTCCCTCCCTCTCCTCCCACCTTCCTCCCTCTCCCTCTCCACCTCCTCCCTCTCCCACTCCCACTTCCCACCTCCTTCCTCTCCTCTCCCCTCTTCCCTCCCTCCCCTCCTCCTCTCCCCTTCCCACCTTCCTCCCTCTCCTCCTCTCCCACTTCCCTCCCTCCTCCCTCTCCCACCCTCCTCCCTCTCCCTCTCCCACCTCCTCCTTCCTCCCTCCCCTCTCCCCACCTTCCTTCCTCCCTCCTCCCTCTCCCTCCTCTTTCCCTCCACCCTCCTCCCTCCTTTCGCTCTCACCCCCCTCCCTCCTCCCCTCTTCCCCTTCCCTCCCTCTCTCTCCCTCCCTCCTCTTCCCCCCTCTCCCTCTCCCTCCCTCTCTCTCCTCTCCATTACCTTGCACGATGAGCCAGATCGGGATCATGGGTTCCACATTGCAATCGTCTTTATAGATGGCGCCCACGGTGATGAAAGCGATGGTAAGCCCGAGGGACAGCAGCGCGCCAGCCACCATCGGCAACACGTCCCCAAAGATGGCTAACCGTGCTGCTAACCGTGCTGCTAAACCTTCTGTGGGCGGAGGCAACGGCTGGTTAAAGTCAGATACGATGAAGGTGGGTGAGGGGTGAGGGGGTGGGAGTGGGTGGGTGAGAGGGGGTCGAGTGACGGAAATTGGCTAACGGAATTCTCAAGTGCTACGTCACGTTGGCATGGCGACGAATTTTCAGTGCTAAACAAACCCGCAACTTTGTACTCAAACGTAAACAAGTTATTCACCGGAACCGCAGTTACGTCGTTCAAATATTTCGTTCACGACAGCTGAAGGAATTGAATTGCGGTTGGATTATTGTCATGAATAGTGGAATCTAACTTCATACATCGACTGATTAGATTTGATGTTAATGAATGTTAATCAATGAATGTTATTAATCGCCTTCCATATCCAATTCAAGTAAATTTGTTTGCTGCAAATAACTGTATTTTTCGATACCATATTTCTTTTTGAGCAAACCTACGTTCTGTGATTTATTTCAATGCATTCCGCTGTCCTTTTTTTTTCGATAGGCCTAGAGCACTTTTGCATAAAAACAACATATACTATCGGAAATACATAGAAAAAATACATTATTTTTCTAACTTTAATCATCTATTCAATATATTTTCAAGATTTGATACGACCCATGATTATTTTCTTGGGTTTTACATATCTAAGTTCGTGTCAGAAAATAAAACAGTACTCACCGTTGCATCATACACCTTCTTTATGCTTACTTGGACTTTGCCTCTAAGTATACATGTAAAACTATCAATATGAGAGATTGATCTAGTTTCATTTTTTTGAAGAAATTGAAGAGGCTCGATCTTGGTTTAGAGCTGAAAATTGGTTTCCATGGAAGCGTGACGTCATAGCTTGAGGACTATATTTGAGATTTAAATTCTCCGTTTTATTACTGGTGAAATTATACATAAAATATTCTTGTAGCTAGTAATGATACCTTGATTGGTGAGGATAGTAAAAAATGATAATAGTAATAAGAAAGAGTAATAAGAAATGGATCATGATAATAATAATAAACAAGTCAGTAATTATGTTACAAGTGGTTATCACAATTGCAAAGATAACAAGTGGCAATGTTCAAAAAGCAAAGAAAAAAAAAACTAGTGTTTTCTTCATTAATATAGAAAGAGAAGATCTAGCGTAGTTTATGTTAAAAATCATGTTATTACTTACTACTTTTTTTTTTTTTTCGTTTTCGCCCTGCCTCGCTCGACATCTGTGGAAAGAGAAAAAAAAAAGTTTTGTTTTCAAAGTCCTGAAAATTAACTCATTCTAGGGGCCGGATTCACGAACATACGATCGTAACGCATTTAACAGCGTGTCATTTACCATTGCGTTTACCAGCCATGGCAAAGTGGTTACGAGACTTACAATCGTAAATCGACTCATTCTAATGGTAGCCAACAGAGGGCTCTAGTAAAGCAATTCAACCAATCAGCGAGCGCCATACATAATCTTTTAGGTTCCTTCGGCCAATCACGTAACATGTAAACAGAACTAGACACAGCGAGATTGTTTAAATAATCGTCAGAGCTAAATTTATTTATTTAATATATTCAATAAATTTAATTTAAGCACATCTTAATTTAATCTCTATCTAAGAACATGTAGAAAAAAGAATATATTTATTTGATTACATCCATAATGTTGGATATATATTTACTGTATAGATACAAACCAATACAAACACTGTTATATTAATATATTATTGTTATCTCAAACCAAAGACAGTCCAAACAGCTTTTTAGTTATATATTTTTCATCATTGCCAGTCTATATATCACCAAGGTAGTTTTTTCTATAGCATTTGTAATAATTATGTCAGATTTTTTTTTTTTTTCATTTAATTATCGGTTCCATACATTCTAGTATAATGTAGGCCTATAATTTTACGAGAATTTGTGTGGATTTTATTCTTGCTAGTTTCATGTGAAGTTACCAGTGCTCTGACCGATGGTAAAATTTCCCATGGTAACTCCAATGGCAAGTTGTTAGTGAATACCACCGCTGTCTGTTTACCATGGTAACTGTAGCTACCAGTGATTTTACCATCGTAAGTGCGTCAGTGAATCCGGGCTCTCGTTAAAAACCGTTATAAGAAATCAAGGTCAGCATAAAAAAAAAAAAAAAAATGTATGTATCTACTTTTCTCTACGTCGGAAAATATATATATATATATATATATATATATATATATATATATATATATATATATATATATATATATAACGTACCTCTTCCTGTACTCATGGATGTGCATTCATCAGTCATCTCTTGAAAGGTATGTATGAAGACTTTTTCACCCTGAAATATGACCGAACAGTGATTATCGTTAAGAATAC